CTAACACAAAGTTGAATATTCTGCAAGTGTGAATACTTACTCCTCTGATATCTACATCCCACAGTTCAACACTAGTTCTTACAATGTGGCTCATACTTATTTGACCTACTACGGGCTGTACATTTCAAGTACCATTGGGGGGAATCATTCAACATTTTGTTGTTTGGCTCAACACACTTTTTTTCTTCAAAGCCTTAAAATATAAAGTAGAAAAAGTGAAAAAGCATTATCCTCCTCCACCTCCTCATCATTATTTTCACCACCATCATCATCCTCATCAACATCACCACCACCTTCATCATCCTCATCAACAACACCACCACCTTCATCAGCCTCATCAACAACACCACCACCATCATCATCCTCATCAACATCACCACAACCACCATCATCCTCATCAACATCACCACCTTCATCATCCTCATCAACAACACCACCACCATCATCATCCTCATCAACAACACCACCACCATCATCATCCTCATCAACAACACCACCACCATCATCATCCTCATCAACATCACCACAACCACCATCATCCTCATCAACACCACCACCATCATCATCCTCATCAACAAATCCACCACCAAATGCACACAAATCAAATCTTAGTATGATATTATATAACATATATACATGTATACAAAGGAAATACACCATTATAATATGCAGACTTATGCACAAAAATCCAATCTCAGTATGATATTATATGAAATATATCCATTTGATATTCACCATTATGATGTGCAGACTTATGCACAAACATCCAATCTCAGTATGATATTATATGAAAACTATATGTGTTTGATATTCACCGTGATGATGTGCAGACTTATGCACAAAAATCCAATCTCAAAATGTTATCATATAACATATATACAAGTATGCAAGGAAATTCAGCATTATATGCAGACTTATGCACAAAAATCCAATCTCAAAATGTTATCATATAACATATATACAAGTATGCAAGGATATTCACCATTATGATGTGCAGACTTATGCACAAACATCCAATCTCAGTAGGATATTATATGAAATATATCAATTTGATGTTCACCATATGATTATGATGTGCAGACTTATGCACAAATATCCAATCTCAGTATGACATTATATGACATAATCCATTTGATATTCACCATTATGATGTGCAAACTTATGCACAAATATCCAATCTCAGTATGACATTATATGAAAACGATATGCGTTTGATATTCACCATTATGATGTGCAGACTTATGCACAAACATCCAATCTTAGTATGACATTATATGAAAACTATATGCATTTGATATTCACCATTATGATGTGCAGACTTATGCACAAACATCCAATCTTAGTATGACATTATATGAAAACTATATGCATTTGATATTCACCATTATGATGTGCAGACTTATGCACAAACATCCAATCTTAGTATGACATTATATGAAAACTATATGCATATATAAAATGGAAATACAGCATTATGATGTGCAGACGTATGCACACAAATCCAATCTCAGTATTATACTATATGAAACATATGCATTTGACGTTCACCGTGATGATGTGCAGACTTATGCACACAAATCCAATTTTAGTATGATATCATATAAAATATATATATGTATGCAAAGGAAATTAAGCATTATATGCAGACTTATGCAAAAAAAAATCCAATCATAGTATGATGCTACATGAAATATATCCATTTGATATTCACCATTATGATGTGCAGACTTATGCACACAGATCCAATCTCAGTATGACATTATATGAAAACTATATGCGTTTGATATTCACCATTATGATGTGCAGACTTATGCATAAACATCCAATCTCAGTATGACATTATATGAAAACTATATGCGTTTGATATTCACCATTATGATGTGCAGACTTATGCATAAACATCCAATCTCAGTATGACATTATATGAAAACTATATGCGTTTGATATTCACCATTATGATGTGCAGGCTTATGCACAAATATCCAATCTCAGTATGACATTATATGAAAACGATATGCGTTTGATATTCACCATTATGATGTGCAGACTTATGCACAAACATCCAATCTTAGTATGACATTATATGAAAACTATATGCATATATAAAATGGAAATACAGCATTATGATGTGCAGACGTATGCACACAAATCCAATCTCAGTATTATACTATATGAAACATATGCATTTGACGTTCACCGTGATGATGTGCAGACTTATGCACACAAATCCAATTTTAGTATGATATCATATAAAATATATATATGTATGCAAAGGAAATTAAGCATTATATGCAGACTTATGCAAAAAAAAATCCAATCATAGTATGATGCTACATGAAATATATCCATTTGATATTCACCATTATGATGTGCAGACTTATGCACACAGATCCAATCTCAGTATGACATTATATGAAAACTATATGCGTTTGATATTCACCATTATGATGTGCAGACTTATGCATAAACATCCAATCTCAGTATGACATTATATGAAAACTATATGCGTTTGATATTCACCATTATGATGTGCAGACTTATGCATAAACATCCAATCTCAGTATGACATTATATGAAAACTATATGCGTTTGATATTCACCATTATGATGTGCAGGCTTATGCACAAACATCCAATCTCAGTATGACATTATATGACAACTATATGCGTTTGATATTCACCATTATGATGTGCAGACTTATGCACAAACATCCAATCTTAGTATGACATTATATGAAAACTATATGCGTTTGATGTTCACCATTATAACGTGCAGACTTATGCACAGTATGATATTACATGATATATATATATATACATTTGATATTCACCATTATGATGTGCAGACTTATGCACAAACATCCAATTTCAGTATGATATGATATAAAATATATCTATTTGATATTCACCATTATGATGTGCAGACTTATGCATAAAACTCCAGTCTCAGTATGATATCATATGAATTATTTATATCTATATTGGAAATTCCGGCATTGTGATGTGCAGACTTATGCACGAAAATCTTAATTCAACACTGAGGTATGATTTCATATGAAATATATACAATGGCCAATCACCATTATGATGTGCAGACTTATGCACACAAATCCAATCTCAGTATGATATCATAACAAATATATACATGTATGCAGTGGAAATCGGCATTATAATGTGCAGTTCTATGCACAAAATTTCAATCTAAGTATGATATTACATGACATATATATGCAATTGACTTATGCACACAAAATTAATCTAAAAAACTCAAGACCGAGATATAATATTGTACGAATAATATAAATACATTAAACATTCCACATGTGCAGAGTTATGAACAAAATTGTAAACTCAACAACGAGATATGATATCAATATCCAAATTCACTGGATATTCAACATGTCAAGGCCTATGCACAGAATCTAATGAAGTCAAAAATGACATATGGCAATACAGTCAAACCTGTCTAAAACGACCTCGCAAGGGAAACACAAAAAGTGGTATGTGTAGATAGGTGGTCTTTGTAGACAGGTTCCTTTAGTTCACGTTTCAATTTAGAACTATTTAGAGTTTTTCTATTTTTTCTAGTTCATGCTAGCTTGACATATTGTCTTTCAGGAGGTCGTCTACCAGACGATGGTGTTTAAGCACAGTCAGGACTTTCTTTAACTTCTCATGTTCTTCGGACCTTGTAGTCCTGTTCCTCCAATCACGGAGCATACTAAGTGTACCCATGTATGTGACTCTTGGGTATTTTTCATTCGTTTGTATGTAACGTTGTATTTCCGAAACGTCAAAACCCAATTCTTTGCCTAGACTGTCGATGTCAGGATTCGTATGAATCTGCCTAGCTACTATCCTGAGAAGGTCGTCAAAATCTTGCTCCCTGGATTCCTCCGTAGGTCTATATTTGTATAGAGAAAATATGAAAGGTTACTTCTTATATATAATCTTACATGACCCAATTTACAATGTATAGCACTGGTTTAAAACTTCTAGTATGAAGCTTATTTTTGACAACTCGAAGCAACTCGAATCAAATAATTGGGATTGTATGTAAATACCTAATCTGTATTTTCTCCCTGACTTTTTTTTCTCTCTTAAAATGTAGATATTTTGTTCTATATTGCGTGCCTTATGAATACCTATTCTGATGAGATTATTCGGATATTTCCGAAGCATAAGCATTGATTCTAATTATTTTAATTTGTTTCTCTCTCACTTCTTTGTTAAATACAATTGTACTTCTTTTCTCTTTTTTTATGGTGATTAACGATGATTGTTTTACTAAGAAATCATGAATATGGTTAGTAAGACAGTAAGTAAACAACCAGGGGACTGGCGGCTTTAAAGACCGTCAATACTATTTGGCCAGAAGGGATTATACCACACAACGAGGTCACTGACAGGTGGCTATCTCATTAACTCAGCTCTCAACTGACATAAGAAAAAGAGGATCATGGGGGACCAACAGGCACCGATTGGGGAAGTTTTCTATATAGAGGGAGCAAGTAGCTACAAGTAGGACGGTGGAGCTTAAAGCCTCCAGAGGACTTGATCATGAGTAGTAATGCCTTACCAAATGGCACGAGCACATTGACGTGGTTTCAAACCCGGGACCTCCCGGTTACGAGACCACTGCTCTCTACCACTAAGCCATCGCGCCTCATCCAGTCAGTTTATATGGTATGTTGCATTTTGTGGGGCGCGGATTACAGGAGACTAAATGTAGAATGTTAATGAGTCTCACGAGGACGTCATATCGTCAAATTCTTTCAAATTTTACTACATTCTATTTTCTTCCTTTCCTTAATTAAGATGGGAGAATTTCCCCAAAATGCATTTATCTATGCAAATCTGAATTGAAGTCAAAATAAAACTAGATGATGGTGCGAAATCGTCGAATACAAATATTGCAGCAGAACGCAAGCAATACTCGTGTATACCTTTTTGATTTAAGCTTGATTATAGTAGATAATTATCTAAAAACGATATCGAAAGATTATTGTCATTATTTAAGAAATGAATTATCCCATCAATGAGATTTTAATTGAGAATGATTAGCGAATACCCACATCAACGATTAAGAGATAGTTCTAACCTGGTTTTAGAAGTAGAAACTCCACCGGCTGTCGCTGCTGCATCTGTAGGGGGACTGCTAGCTGATGTGGATGCCGACGGTCTCGGGGACGAGGAATCTGTTTTATTCGATGATGCCATGGTTGTATCTGATTGGAGAAATGGGAAACCTTGTTAACTTCGCAAACAAACATATATTCATTTTTGTTGTTATTTCTTGCATAATCATGTTGCATTATAATTACAATTTAATTACACAAATAAACATTTTCAAGTAATTTGATCTTGATACGTCAATTTAACAATATGTGATCATCATTATCATGCTACTGGGTACTTCAATACAGTCTTCAAATGACAGGAAATAACAATTGTCAGACAATCCTCTGCATGAAATGTTCATCGTTCTTCGACACGGAATTATTTAAAAGTATGAGCTGTTAAAAAAGAGTACCTCGTGTTTGTGATGTTAACATATCAAAAGACAAAGGCTTTGTCATAAGTCAAATAGATTCAGATTCAGATTCAGATTCAGATTAATTTTATTGGTCCATTTGGAAATTCAGTTGTTGGCATTACCTAAAGCACTTGAAGAGTGAAGTTTTTAACACACGTTTGGTGTAAATAATACGAAGAAAAAAGCGATTATAAAACATACAGTATACAGAGCACACAGAATGAGTGTGTTTTTATCTTAAAGAGTAAAATTGGCTGTTTTATTTTATTTTGATGTCCGTTGATGACTCTCGAAATGTCCGTCCCAATGTTCATCCGTGAATTTTGCTTACATCTCTAAAAAAAGTTGGAGCTTGGTTTTAAAATTCAATTGATGTAAAAGAAAGAAACAAAAACTAGATGGAACTTCGACTGCGCGCAGTCGAAAATGATGCCTCCGTCATAGAGCAAGTTTACAAACCAAAAAGCAATTTCTCATATACATATATGACCCTTTGATCTTTGACCTCATGACCCTAAAATGTACTCAGTTCATTGGCTCTGCAAGATGTCATGAGTTAAATAGTAATCCATCTGTCAGTTCTAATGAGAATGCGTTCACAAGCTATTTTTGCATACATAATGAGCCCATGACATTTGACCTTTGACCTCATGACCCAAGAATCTACTCAGTTCATTGGCTCTGCAAGATACATACATGATCTAAGTTTGGCAGGAATCCATCAATCTGTTTTAATGATAATGCGATCACAAGCTATTTTTTGCATACGTAATGAGCCGCATGACCTTAGACCTTGACCAAGACCCCAAAATCTAATCAGTTCATCGGCTCTGCAAGTAACATACATGACCTAAGTTTGGCAGGAATCCATCAATTGGTTCTTTAGATAACGCGATCACGAGGTGTTTTTGCATACATAATGAGCCCTGTGACCTTTGACCTTTGACCTCGTGACCCCAAAATCTAATCAGTTCATCGGCTCTGCAAGATACATACATGACTAATGTTTGGCAGGAATCCATCAATCGGTTCTTGAGATAACGCGATCACGAGCTGTTTTTGCATACATAATGAGCCCTGTGACCTTTGACCTTTGACCTCGTGACCCCAAAATCTAATCAGTTCATCGGCTCTGCAAGATACATACATGACTAATGTTTGGCAGGAATCCATCAATCGGTTCTTGAGATAACGCGATCACGAGCTGTTTTTGCATACATAATGAGCCCTGTGACATTTGACCTCGTGACCCCAAAATCTAATCAGTTCATCGGCTCTGCAAGATACATACATGACCAAATTTTGGCAGGAATCCATCAATCGGTTCTTCAGATAACGCGATCACGAGAACGGGACGTACGGACGTACGTACGGACGGACGGACAACCCGAAAACATAATGCCTCCGGCTACTTCGTAACGGAGGCATAAAAACTTCCTTGATTAATTTGGTTCACAAAATAGAACCAAAGCCAAGATTCTGTTTCTATCCTCATCCGTCAATAACAATGAACATTTCAAGTACTCTATATTCGTGAGGTAACAATGGCAACTAAACGTTATCAACTTTAAAGATCTTTAATGTTATATTTTAAAATGCAACATAAAACCGTTCCTTGTGATGCATTTTCTACATGCCTTCACATTCTCCGAAATTGTCAAATGTCTGTAGCTGACAGATTGAATGAATGGCAACCATTTGTTGATTTCTCAGTTGATTAGACTTTATGATATTTACCTTCTAAGTGCATGGGAACCAGGAGCTGCTTTGTTGTGCTTTGTTCCAAGATGAACTGTAATATCACTTTATTCTTGTCAGCGGTTCGTGTATCCACTTTGAACATCACTTTTTGCTCTGTCAGATGGCCAATTTCACTTTCCTTGAGAGTCTACGAAATAATCATATACATATGTATGGAGCATATATATATATATGTATGGATTCATATGTAGGGAGTCGGGCTAACTCGGACCACAGACAACTCGGCCCCGTTTTTTGCAGGTTTAGGGTTAGGTTTAGGGTTAGGGTTAGGTTTAGGGTTAGGGTAAGGGTTAGGGTTAGGGTTAAGGTTAGAGTTTGGGTTAGGGTAAAATGACAAAAACTGACCGTTCTGCAGCTGGGCCGAGTTGTCTTTGGTCCGGGCTAACTCGTTTATACACTATCGCTCATATAGTTGGAACATTTTTTTTTTTACCCCAATTTATGGAATTATTTTGACAATGATTTATTCCTAATAGATCTAGATAATAATATACATTCTCAGATTTTATTGAATAATAATTTGCCAATAACTTTGTTTGTTTTGCGTGACTGCTAAAGGATATGTATGCTACTATGCTTATTAACTAGGGGACCCAAAGAAAATGCAATAAATTTCAATAATTCATTGCATTTTACCCCGGTCCCCAACATAAAAAAAATCCTCTGTACAGCCATGCAATATGGCTCAAGGCATGGGCACACAGAATATTTTTTTTTCTGTTGGGGACCGGGGGGAAATTCAATGAATTTTGGATAATTTATGACATTTTCTTTGTTTCTTTTTATTTGTGGGAGCTGCCCCCTACCCTAGCCCCCGCTGTGTACAGTCATGGTTCAGTGGCAAAGCAATGGCCTCGTAACTGTGAGCCCCCAGGATCAAAACCGTGTCGATGTGCTACATTAGTGCCCTTTTGTGGGGCATTAATCCTCATTACTGTCATTTATGACTTAAGGGCGTAGGTCCCCTAGTTGATAAGCATTGTAGCATACACATGCTTTAGCAGTCACCCAAAACAAACACTGGCAAATTATTATTCAGTAAAATCTGAGAATGTATACTATCATCTAGATCTATTAGAAATAAATCATTGTCAAAATAATTCCATAAATTGGGGTAAAAAAAAAATATTCCAACTATATGAGCGACAGTGAAGCTACCTCGAAAAATTGATTTTTAACGTAGTTAGATCTCGTAAAAACCAAAAATATGCAGGACGAAAAAGGTCCAAGAGTCATTTGATATATTAAACTATATTGTAGATCATTCTGCCATACATTTAACTTTCGATTTCTAAAAAGAATTTTGAGCTAAAAATTGACTATAACTGGGCAGCATACTGTCCATTGTATTTTAGGTTAAACGTTAACCAACTGATTTTGACAATTGAAATGCTCAATGGTTGAGCAAATCAAATTTCCAAAGAGAAGACAGCCAACCATAAATTGCCTAACTCTCGAATCGCCAAATTATGGGTTCTATATTATGTGGTCAATCAATAAATAGCTGCAATAACTGATGCTAATATTCATCCGATTTGTCCGACAAAAAAAAAGATCTCGGGCGTTAGTGGTCTTACTTTCGTTTACTTTACTTAGCAATTCAAATCTAAGAAAACTTTGAACAGGTTGATTTAAACTGCTCGTTTGAATGTTACCATGGCCTCGTCTTTCATGGTGCTTTCTGGGCAAGTAATCTTTAACGCTCCTGAACGCCACCTCACTAAGAATTGCTCTCCCGTGATCGGAGCCATGTATCCAGGCTGCACCTTAAAAGTTGAGAAAAAGCATTCAATAGTTTAATTCTAAAAATGCGTTTCCACTCAACAAAGTGTAAACTATAAGTTATAAAGAGAGAGAGAGAGAGAAAAAAAAAAGAATAACAAAAGAAAGAAAGGGCTTTGACACACGAACATATAGAAGTTTAGATTCCAAAAAAAAAACAGAAGAGGATTTACTAAAAGACGTAAATCAGCAAACATCATGAGAGATTAGCCATCGTAATAAAATTGTATATAAATTATGTTAATACTTCTAAAGATAATAATATTTAAAATAATAATAATACTTATAATGATAATAATATCAATAATCATCATGATAATAATAATTATTATTGTTTTTTAATCATTCTTTTAAAGGTCAAATATGCACAAAAAGGACACAAAATAGCCCAGGTTAAAACAAAATTATTAGGAGAAGACAATAATTGGGACTTATATACCCAGGGTAAGCATATAAGTATTATGCTTCTCTTCCTGCGGGCCCTGCAAATATTATTACCTCAGAATCGCAAGGTATCCTTTTACACCTAGTGAAGAGTGGGACATGTGGATTGATGTCTTGCCAAAAGACGTCAGTGCCTGGCTTGGATTCAAACTCCCAAACGCTTGGATTGAGAGTCAAGTGAATGGACCACAATAACACGACAATTCTCCCTATAATCCCTTTGATATTTCTTTAAATAAAGTTTTATAGCTTATATAAATGCAAAAGAAGGGGATAGTGATAAAGAACAAAAAAAGATGAAGAAAATACAATTGGAAAGAAAACCAACCTCTCCCTTTCCAATGTTTGCATCTCTTACACGGACAAACAACACATGTTCATCGTTCTTCGGAGTTGACAATGGAATATATGGTGTACAAATAACACGTTTACCGATGAATGCCCATGTGAAGAGAGCAACAATCCAAATTTCGGAGAAGTGGTCCATGTAAAGATCTAGGTCGTGCTGTCTTACAACACATCGTAGGCTACCGTCGGTAGAAGGAATCGCTGTAAAACTTTCAGATGCTAATCATGCAAAATATCAAAGAAAATTAACCAATACCTTAGCACAACTATAATATAACAAAATCATATACTTCAATGTCAAAACCTATATGTTCAGCAATAAGTATTGCAATTTTAACCTTATATCACAACCTAACAGCAGTCATGTATTTTTCTCTCTAAACACTAATCCTTAACGATATTTCTACCCTCTTTTCCCCATCCCAACCAGTATTAGGGTTTAAAGTGCCTTTTTTAGGAGGGGGTTGAAGAATAGCCCAAAATTGATTTTGGTAGCTGTGCAATCAAATTCCTTGTTCATATATATTACTTTCTTCAAGTTTATCTAAAGATACTATGTTCCTTTTGCAGCCAACATCAATTTCTGTAGAACTTTGCAGGAATATTATGAATATGTCATGTATGTCCTATCTGTTAAATTTAAACGTTAGCAGTGTCCTTATATTCAGATTATGCAAGGAAACCCGTTTACTTGCTAGACTTGACTGTCAGACTATTGAGTGACTGACTGGCTTTTTTTCTTCTTTGATAATAACATACATAAAATGAGCTGTAAAGGGTACATAAGCATTTGTCTAAATCAATAACCCACTTCTTGTAATGGCCAAAACTAAACTGCTTGAATCTTTGCGCAACACAAAACGTACGACCATTTGGTACAATGGTCTGAAAATCAGACTATTACTTACTGACTTGGTAGCACTTTAGTCAATTCGACAACTAACAGTCGTTATTTTCCCACTTAAAGACATTTTCAAGCCCCCATTTTGGGGGGAAGTTCTAAATTAGTATTATCTTTCAAATGCCAATGGAATGTAACCTTTTCATTTCGTTGGCCTGAAAATGGGACATAGTACCTTTAATGAACGGCAATATGAATGGGACAGACAGAGACAGAGACAACGAGAAAGACCAGACTTTACCATTCTTGCGATAATAAGTGACGATTTTTGCAGCCTCTGGCTTTTTGAATATAGCACAATGGGGCATCGTTACTGTCACTGGAATGTCAAACGCTGCATCGGAGGGCGACATTCTCAGGCCGAAGGAAATGATGGCTTCCGTTTCCTTTAGCACCAACTCAGTTGGGATGTCATCGATTATTTCGACAGTGACATCTTTTGCGCTGTAAGCTTCATTTGGTGGAATTCTTACTTCAATGCCATGCTTCTCAAGCCGGATCACGTCAGTAACCGCACTCAAATCATCCCTGCTTTCAAGATTTTGAACCTGGTTTTCATCATTGAGGGCGCTCGATGAAGAGATATGGTGAACGGACTGTATTATCTGTCCCTCGTCATTTGTAGGTTTTGAAGTTTCCTTATGCGGTCTGAAATCCGCCGGCTTTACTCTTTCCCCAGATTCCATCCATGCAAGAATGGCTTGCTTGGAGTCCTCTTTTTCTGTAAATGAATTTGGGTACACTAGTAGTAATAATTACTGGATTTATATAGCGCCTTTTCCCCGAAATAATATCCTACTTCTGGAAAGAATGACCAACGTTAACGTTGTCTGACTTTTTAAAGAGTGATTTTACAATAACTAGAAACAATAATACATAGAAGATGTTCTACCTTACATTCTTGTAGTTCCTTTTTTATAATTGTCCTTTCATTAATATTGTATGAAAACGAACATGTAAACATGATTCAATTACTGCGCTTAAGAACATGATTCATTTTTTGTTTACTTGCGCCCCCCCCTCCCCCCAAATAAAAAAAAATTAAAAAAATATATATATATTTATATATATATATATAGAAAGGGGATGCATACCTTCATCTTCACGATGCGGGTCAATTCTCAGAACTCTAAAACTGAAAGAAAAAAAATTGTAAGAAAATTTTGAGCAATATCTAGGTTAGGTAGAGATGAAATATAATTTTTATCTATAGCAATCTACGATTCTTTTATTAACACGAAATTCATTTATCCTTTTGAAGAAAAAATATATACGCAGATTCAGTTGATCATCATGTTGACATTTTATATTCTTAACTGCATGTTTATATTTATAATGTTTTTTTTCCTGCATTCAGTTGTCTTACATATTTTACTGTATTCATGAGTTTTGTCGAAATAATTGAATTGAAGTCAGTTTTCGCAATTTTTATTACAAGTAATAAGGGTAAACCCATGGGAAACAAGAGAAAGGCAGAAAATAAACCTTTTAACTTTGTCACGAAGGTGTCTAGAAGTTGATAAGGTCCGTTTATGCGATGCGTAATCTGAAATGAACATTAAGGGTACTTAGTAACATTGTGATGGTTGATTTCACAAATCTGTTGAATCAGGATGCAAAACACCTAAAATTATGTGTGTATGTATGGATTATCCAACTACGATGCCCCAAATCCGAAATTAATTCACGCAATATGAAGATTTTTAACAAAGTTCAACGGGTTTTCGAACGGGCGTCGATGGGAGGCGCTTGTGAATCTAAATTCTCCCAACCATTTTTGAATTTTCCCAACCGTTTTTCCATGAAAAAAGACATAAAAACAGGCTATAAGAAATCTGTCAACACTTAAATGTCTGGAATGGAATGTAGAGCCAATTTATTGCTTTGTGAGATTTCCATTCACCTAAAATGCAATTAAATTGTAATAATATAGTTAGGAGAATTAAGGAATCGATCGGATCAGTTTTTCCCAATTTGTACCATGAATAATGGTCCGTTTTCGCTCAAATTTTCAGATTATCTTTAATTGTACATCTAACATTGAAGTCACTACCTTAGCACCACTATCTCTCATCTGAACAATGTTACAAAGTTACAAAGTCCCTTTAAAGAATTTAAACATTATTATAAATATCTGTCGGGGACTCAAAAAACATATTTAAACTCAATGATCTTTTGTCTCCTTGCAAGAACCTTATGCTTAACTCACAAAGTGAACTTCTTTGAATGTTAAAATAGCATGTAATAGCAGGATACGTATAGCGAGCCCACATCATGCTTTTGAGAACTACTTCCCAAATGATTAAATTGTCTTAAGTATTGATAAACAACTATACTATATTACACTCTTTCATTATATGTTATTCAATAATTAGAAGAAGAAATGTTGTACAAGACAGGGCAACTTACAGCGTTTCGGAAAGCGACCCTCCTCCTCCCCCAGGAACGTGCTGAAACTTCACGTTAATAATAATAATACAAACATCAACAACAGTACTACTACTACTACTACCAATAACAGTAACAATGATAATTTAATCATAACAATAATGATAATAATACCACTAATAATAATGATAAATATGATAATAATACCTCTAATAATAATGATAAATATGATAATAATAATAATAAAACGGTTGTTTACCCATGGAAGCCTCATCGGTATCATTGCTTTTCTTCCTGCATGAGGCTCTGCAATTAGTTTAACTTATTATTTTTTGGTCTGAATGTATTTGGTTTCTAGTCTCGGGTCACAGGGGTAGAATTTTATAGCAAATTACAATAAACGCCAAATCCAACCTAAATCTGAAATCACTTTCCTCAAAACGCGTTGAATCAGAACATATTTTAGGTAAAGACACTGTCCTTTGGCAAAAGGCTATAACGCCATTATAATTCTTATTTACCTGCTAGAAGCTAGCAACTGATAATAATACCCTTTGAAACGCATTTCAAAGTCATTGTATACCTGCTTAACGAGTCGCTTCTGACACTAGGAGTGTTAGATCGCTTATGATGAAGCCTCTCTGTCCAGTGCCCCATTGCTCTTGAAATCTTTGGAGGGGAAAATAATCAACGCCAGTTGTGAAATAGGTATATTTAATTGGATTATAAGAATACTAGTAAGAATTTTTATTTCTCCAAATAAAGTCTTTATTTAATATTTCTCAAAGCATAAAACAGTATAAGTAAATGTACAAAATGAAGGATACATACATTTGATAAAGAAAGGTACGATAAGGGGAGAGAAAGAAAGGTTGTTTTGAATGTCTGTGACGTAAGAGTGATTATCCATTATTATATATCCCTCTTTAGAAATCTAGCCATCTGATTGGTCGAAACTGGAGTCGTGATATAGCCATGCCCGTAAAGAAACGAACAATGCCAGTAACGATCAATAGTTCATGAGAAAGATTCCAGTTGCCCCTGGTGACGGGAAAATAGTTAAATTTTGCTGAGATCCCCATTGGTTAACGTGTAAAAAAATCTTTGTGCGAACGCGGATACCATACAGTGTATGCGCGATTCCCGAATGATCATAACTTTAAGCCAACTCTCCAGCGTAGATTAATAGATAGTGTCTCAGATTTTCTGTGATGTTTTAATCTATCTTTACTCAAGAAAAGGATAAGGCAAGAATACTTTGTAGATATTTTGTGTGAATTCGGTATATAAAAGATACATGGACTGCTTTAATATTCGAGGCATGGCTGTTTCTATACTGGCTCTCGGGGATAGTGCATCCTGCCATGACCCCTCGGCGCGCCGCCCACCGCCGCAACGGCCCCTTGAGCCTATATAAACAGCTAGGCCTCTCAAAGCAGTCAATATATCTGTATTATTCTATGTGAATCATACACTGAAAATGACATACAAATATTACATTGGCAATATCAGACGGTTAAATAAGAGTTCTAGTTCACGGGTCTCTTCGTCACCTAATTTTCATATTTTGCTCTCATCCTGTTATTCCTTTCTTATATTTCTAATGCCATAATTTGGACTTATTTCATTTCCCCTTCTCATTCCCAATTTCTGTTTACTAAAGAGTCTGATAATTTTTTTTCAAGCAGGGCATCTTTGTCATGAGCCTCAAAAAAATAATTTGTTTATAGGGGCTTTTAAAAATAAATTTGCAGTACAAAGCATTTTCTCAATGTTTTAAATTTCCAAGGACAACTACCCCCGGACAACTACCCACAGACAACTACCCCTATGACAACTACCCCCTAGGACAACTACCACCGGACAACTACCCCATACAACTGCCCACAGACAACTAACCCCAGACAGCTACCCCCTACGACAATTACCCCCTCCGACAACTACCCGCAGACAACTACCCCCTACGACAACCATCCTCTATGACAACTACCCCCGGCAAACTATCCTAGGGGTAGTTGCCTGAGGGAAGTTGTCCGAGGGTAGCTATCCTAGGGGGTAGTTGTCTGGGGTAGTTGTCCGGTGGTTGTTGTACTAGGGGGTAGTCATCCTAGAGTGTGGTGGCCCTAGGGAGTAAATGTCGTAGGGGGTGGTTGTCCTAGAGGGTGGTTATCCTAGGGGTGGTTTTCCGGGGTGGATGCCCAGGGGGTAGGTGTCTGGATACGGCTCCTATCCATTACATCAAATTTATTGTCTCGAATTGAAATTCAGTGTCTATACTAAAATTCACATCTACATGAGTGCAAGAGAAATTAATAGTAGATCCCCACGTCCAAGAATCATCAAGGCTCCTAACTAAGTCGGAGATTATCTTTCTGCTATCTAGATGCTGAAAGAGTTTCAAATGTGGTTGTCTGCTTAGCAGGCCTATGTATGCACAATATACACATTGATAACGACTGTATTAACGTCCAAAGATCTTGGCCCCATTTCATAAAGCCTACCATTGGTGGTAATTTTTGCCATTAATGGTAAATTCCATGGAAAGCTTGATTTGATTGGCTGTTGAGTAATGTTGCCATGGTAGATAATACTGATGGCAACGTTATAACCAGTGGTAAGTTTCATGCAACGGGACACTGATTTGGAAATACATGCTCCGTCTCTGGAAATATTAACTACATACAGCTACCGCGTGGAAACACTCACCTCCAAATCATAAGCATGAAGGCCTACAGTCGAGATGGAGCTGGGTTCTTCAAGAGGGAATTCCCCTTCGAAGAAGTCTTCCACATGTATGTCATATTTCTTTTCTTTAGAGGGAAGGTAGAAGTATAAAGACCATGTAAAGATGTTTATCAAACATATTTATCAATTAAATTCGAAAAATAACTGTATTGCACGATCCCTCATTTAAAAGGTAATGTATATCCTCTGGTCTGTTTTAGAATGAGTTTAATTCTGTTTCAAAATTCAGTGCGTCCTTACCCGCTCTTCGTCGTTGTTTCAAAACAGGGGCTGAATCTCCTGAATCGCTCACGGACTTCCACACTTCTGTTAGATGATCGTCTGCTAGTGAGACGGAATGATGCAAGCATTTCCAATAGCGGATCATGGAGACAGCAGCCCTTTGGTTTAGTGTCTTAACCCCAGCCTCATCATGTTGTCTGCTTCTGAACTGGATGCTGTCAAGTGTCTGGTAGGACAAACCCAATGCTAGACCAAGATGGTAGTACCGATCAGTGTTCATCTCTTTTGTGATGAAATCATCATTCTGAATTTCTTCAGCGTTGCTATAAATGGAAATACAGGGTGAAGAGAGAAC